AGTATCGAAACTCGAAACGGTGGAAGCAGCGTGAACATAGCCAAAATAGTTATTTTGTTATAAATAAAATACGAAATATATCTCAACAGATATTGGAGCCGGTTGAAAGGATGAATTAATTGCGATTATAAATTCATTGATATATAGTCGACGTAATTTTTTAAAATTGAGAATATTAAAAGAACGATAAAAAAAGGAGAAAGACAAAAAATTCGAAACTTCTTTCATACCATTCCTGGAGTTCCACGATCGATCCGGTCCGTCGTTCCCCGATTCTCGCAGTGTCATCGATAACCGACCGGCGGCGATATACAAATTAAGTTAGGGTTAGGTTAGATGACAACCAACGCCTCTACCGGTGGCGATTTATCCCGGAGTTCGCGCGGATCTTCGTGTTAAAATCCTCTCGAAGGAAAAAGAAATTGGCAAAGATTACACCGGCATTGTTTTTCTCGCCATGGAGTTGATATCGTTGACGAAACACCTGAACGCGATCAATATCCCGCGAAAGAGCGACAAGATATACAAGGATGAATGCGTTTACTCCTTCGACACACCAGTAAGATACCCTTTTATCCTTTTTTGTTTTCGACACCATCGGGAGTGACGAGTGAGCGCGATCATTTTGATGAAAATTTCTTTTTCATTCAAGGATTCGCCCACCGGTCTGTACGTTAGTCTCACATCTTTCCTAGGCTTGAACAAGGGTCATGCCATGTGGTACTACAAGAAGACTTCGTATGCTGTGTATCTTCATATTAAACGTACAAAGAAAGAGGTGATTTGAATTTATTCAATAAATTATGTTAAAGACTCTGTCTTTAAAAATTCACACAATCTGAATGGAACATTATATACATATTATATATATTATCATGTTATTCGTCGTGTATATATAAAGTATCTGACAAGTGCTTCGCTAATACTAGATATATGATATTTTAATTGTTGTTTGGTATATCACTATTTTTGTTTCTGTATTCGAGTAATATCAAATAATGTTTACGTCCTTGATAATTTATTCAATTTTCAGTTGGAATTTTTCTATTAATGTAGAATTACAAAATGTACATGAAAAGCCCGTCAGATACTTATATGTCTTTTTCACGAGTCTTTTTATCTTTAAAAACATATGTAAAATATTTTGTAGATTCCATCTGAAGAACAAGGAGATGGGCCTGAAAAAAAGATTACACGGCTAGCGATAGGAACAGCCGGTGGATTCATGCCTGATCAACAGAAATATACTTACGAGGAGGAGTATAATATAATCATTCTACCCGATTTCATATCCATTCCTTATCCGTCAAACAATTTACCTGAGAAGGTAAGATTTATTCATATGATTATATTACATATAGTTAATAATGCTTAAGGGATATACAAAATTGTGGACAGGTGGAGCTTGCAGTCAAAACTATAATACAAATGGAAAGTGCATGGGCGGTAGCACAAGTAGAAGCTGTAGCCAATACATGGGACGGAGAGGTCAGATCAGAATCAAAGTGAGCTTTTTGAAAAATTTTTTATCAAGTTTATTACCAATTGAATGATTTTAATTAATTGCAAAAAAGTGCTAAAAAAAGTTATAACATAATACTGTATTTTATCACATGTATTTATAGCATATCAATTGCATTAGTATTAAATTTAAAGTATCATTTGAAATTTATATATCAAGAAAATTTTATTTATATATCAAAATTTAAATATCAAGAAAATTTGGTTTCTAATAGATAGATAGATCATTTTTTTCGATCTCTTTTAATGAAATAACATCTATGTTATGATAAGTATCTCAAAAAAATCTCTCTTAGTTGAATAAGATTGTAAAATTTATCGGAATTTTTAGACACGCCGCGAATCTAAAACAATTAGACAACGGTAAGAAGATCCCGCCGAGCGGTTGGAAATGCGAGAAATGTGATCTCACGCAAAATCTTTGGTTAAATCTGACTGACGGCAGCATACTCTGCGGTCGCAAGTTCTACGACGGAAGTGGCGGCAATGGCCACGCGATCGAGCACTACCGCGCGACCGGCTATCCGCTGGCCGTAAAATTAGGCACGATCACGAAGGGCGGCAAAGCCGACGTGTTCTCGTACGACGAGGACGACATGGTGGACGATCCGAATTTGACAGCGCATCTATCGCATTGGGGTATCAATATTGCGCAGATGGAAAAAACGGATAAGTCGATGATTGAGCTGGAATTGGATCTTAATCAAAAGTTTGGCGAGTGGGTGTCTCTCCAGGAAGCTGCCAGCAAGCTTACACCATTATACGGCCCCGGTTATACCGGACTAATCAATTTGGGGAATTCTTGTTACATGAATAGCGTCATGCAAATGTTATTCATTATTCCTGATTTTATCAAAAGGTATGTATAATTTATGATGATTTTTCTCTTTCTTTTCATATGATTATTTTTATCATGGCCAATTGTGGAATGAATGGAGGAATTTTTTACCGATAAAAGGAATATTAAGATTGATGTTGTAAATTTCAGATATGAGGAGAAGGCGTCGCAGATATTTCAGCAAAATTGGCATGATCCAGCATCAGATGTTAATGTTCAGATGTGAGTTAGGGTAGTTCTTGATAAAAGGATTTGGCGATTATCCAAAGTATAATTATTGCCATTTTTCTAGGGCAAAATTGGGCTTCGGCTTGCTCTCTGGCAGATACTCACAGCCACCGAGAAAATCTAGCACGGATAATGAACCACAACAAGGTATTCCCCCACGTATGTTTAAGGTCCTGATCGGTCGAGGACATCCCGGCTTCTTCTCGAATAGGCAACAGGACGCTCAGGAATTCCTTCTTTACCTGATTAATCTACTCAATGTAATTATTAATATCGCTTTCGGATTTTAATCGAATATTTCGTGTACTATCCAATCTAATTATTAAATATTCGTTACCATCGACACCATTTTAATCGGCAAATTGATCGAATAGCGCAACAGTCGGCATGAGGTGTGTCCCACGGAATGCTTTAGATTTAAAGTGGAAGAGAGATATCAGTGTAGTAAATCTTATAAAGTCAAATATACTTCTCGGCCGGAATATATCCTGCCGCTGCCAATACCGCTGGAGGCCGCGGTAAACAAGGTATGTATAATTTAATTGAAAAGTTCTTGAGAAATGATGTCTTTCTTACTACAAGTAATTAAGTCAATATATTATATATAAGGACGAAGTGGCTGCCTACGAGACCCAGAAAAAGGAAGCTGAAGCAAAAGGGCAAAAGTTAGATTCCAATATTCTCGTAAGACCCCGTATAAAATTGTCGTCGTGCCTCGAAAGTTTCAGTCGTTCGGAAATTGTGGAACAGTTTTATAGTTCGGCTTTGAACGAGAAGACGACAGCGCACAAGTAAGTATATTTGATTATCAGCTATTTGGTTGTGAACGTTTGTGTCATTCGCTTTATATATAATCTTATTTTTAAACATCTAGATTTCGCACATTCTTTTAACTATCAACTATGTTATATTTTATTATGTATTTAAATATTTGATTTCTCTCTTTCGTATAATCATGTTTAATGCGACTAATTTTTTACGGCTAGTGTTTTTTTCGCATAATATATAATATATTCTCTTTTAGAACTACCAGACTAGCCAGCTTCCCGGATTATTTATTAATCCATTTAAAGAAATTTACGGTGAAGGAAGATTGGACGCCTATCAAATTAGACGTAGCAGTAGAGATGCCAGACACGGTAGATTTGAAATTCTTGCGCGGAACTGGCTTGCGAACAGGTGAGAAATTATTGCCGGACGGCGTGACACCGCCTCCGCCTGTTTACAACGCGGCTCTCCTTGATCAACTGACGGACATGGGTTTCCCACCGAATGCGTGCAAGCGGGCCTTGTACTTCACCGAGAACCGCGATCTTGAGGCTGCGACCAATTGGGTGATGGAGCACATCGCGGATTCCGATTTCGATGAGCCGTTTGTGCCACCGGGAGTTGATTTCAAGCCGGGTAAGGATCATCTCAGATGTAGAATCGTAGCTATAATTAATTGATTTTCTTTAAGTGAATACCGGTTGATTTCAGGCGAAGATACATTTGTGCCGGATCAAGCTGCTTTGGAGAGTGTAATGGCCATGGGTTTTACACGTGAGCAAGCGACGAAAGCGCTCAAAGCGACCAATAATGACTTGGTGCGCGCGGGTGATTGGATTTTCAATCATCCGGCCGAGCTCGATGCCCAGGAAATGGATTCTACTGCGACGCCAAAGATGGAGGAATTTAGAGACGGAAGCAGTCGTGAGTCACAAAATCGTTTATTTCTTAAACTATGAATTATTGTTTAATATTAATCATTCAAAGAAAATATATATCTTAAAAATAATATAGACATAATTAACGCTAAATGTGGCAATATACAGATTAACAAAATTAAGTTACAGATTAGGACAATTTTAGGATTAATTGAGCAAATTTATAACGAGATTTAGAAAGTTAGACTTGTTTATTCATCGAGATTAAATTAATTCTTTCCGATTTTTTGTATGCTTTTTTATGTTTTAGAATACAAACTAGTGGGTTTTATATCACATATGGGTACATCAACAATGGTAGGCCATTATGTTTGTCACTTATTGAAGGAAGATCGATGGGTGATATTCAACGATGAAAAAGTATGACATTGTTATCTTTATGTGATTATATTATCTTTTTAAACTTTTGTTTCTCTCTTTACACAAATTTATTCTTGCAGGTCGCTTTATCTGAAAACCCACCGAAAGAATTAGGATATATATACATGTATCAACGGATCCACACGGATCCATAGTGTAGATCCATGTAGTGTGCTTTTCTTTTGTATAAAGATATATTGCTTTTTTAATAATAAAGAATGATACAAATGCTCTTTATATCATGTATATATTGAATATAATGAAGATGCGCGTAATTCATAGCCAGTTTTGATTTGCCAGGTTTTATTATATGATATTAGGAATATAAGAAGCGAATAAGATATAAGATGAAAATTTTATTTTATTTTCTAATAATGGCACGATATTCTCAACATGTTTTAGAGTGCTTTGTGATCACAATTATACCAATCAAAATAACATAATCGTTTTTTTATAAATATAGAAATAGAAATATAAACTAAAAAAAAGAACAGACTATTTTGTTTCTAACAAATGCTTCATAAATGCATAAGTACTAAATTAATGACATCTATCGCAATATACAATAATTTTCGCGTGTTAAATCGAATTAACATCAAAACAATCGTAAAATAATACATATATTTTGATTAATCATACACGTATTTATATATATATTCCTACATTTCTCAAGTATCTTCTTAAACTAAGTACATGGAAGGATGCAAAATTTTCTTTAGAAAAGAATACATTTGACTCATTACATTTTGTGTCCAATTGGCAGGCACTATGGTGTAAAATTGCATATCTTACTCTTGTTACTCTTCTGTTTTCGATATAATTTATGTATTTATGTAAAAAAGCTTTAAAAAATATTCTGATCTATCTGATACTAAGTAGAAGGCCACAAGCTTATAGTACGTTGGAATTAATGAAAAATTGTTCTGTATAATTGTCGTAACATTGATAGAATTTTCTTTTGTGGAAAATAAAATTCCACATAGATGGTTTATAAATTATCTCGTATATAAATTATGCATTCACTATTATACTCCGGTGAAACTCACTTTCGTAAATTTACATTTCGTCCTTGCACCGTTGTAAGCTAACAACATTTATAATATTATATCATATTTACAGAAAAAAATGCGTCATGTGTGCACAACACACTTGACGCAATATACCGGCATTTATAAAATTTATGGTACGCTCAAAGTGACTTATATATATCACATAATTAACTTGTACTGCAATATGAATATTTTTTTTTTTTTTGCGTATTTTGGACATATGTTTATTATGCAGGCATAGAACAGTTGAAAAAGTCTCAAACTTTTTAGCATTTGATTTTAAAAAAATGTTAATATTTCTTTAATTTTTTATCATATTTAAATTGAACTGATTACGTAATAAATGCAAACATTGATTGGATTTTCAATTGAATTTTATCATAACAAAATTGCATTGCATCTATATGCATCATAACGTGATTAATATTAATATTGCAGAAAAATTATATATTGTGGAACAATCGATTCAACTGGGAAAACTTTCAAACGCGAAATCTGATGTCTCGCGAAATTGTTAAGCGGATTTTCTGAACAATAGTATTATTATGGCGCGCAGCATGTATAATTTATATATATTATTACAAAATATATCCGATACGTAGTACAGCACTTCAAATAGCTTGTCAGATTTTAACTTGCCGTGCGAATTTGTTGTCTAGTATTAGTGCCACCGTCAATGATGCTCACCGATGGTGGAATGGCATAAATAATTTGATTACCGTCTTTCCTGAATGTAGGTTCATTCACGTCGGGCATCACCTCAATGCGTAGCAATCTGCTTTTATTGCCTAGCATGCACTTAAACTTGATGTCCACTGTTACGTGTAGATCGGCGCCGCGCAATCTGTAAAAAAATAGGTCTTATTTATTATTCTTCAAAATAAGATTGCAATAAAAAGATATAAATCTCGAAATTCGCTTAAATATTTTCATTGAAATACTTTCAAAACATCTTACTGATAGTATCGGTTGCTCAGTATGCCGACTAGTTCTCCGATCCTGTCGTCTTTGGCAGTGATGGACAGAATAAAATCATTTCCGCGATTCGAATGTATCGCGATAAATTGATCCTTTCCTGGCGAAACGCTGAGACCGGTGATTTCCGCGATTGGCATGCCTTTCCTCATGTTTTTAAATCTCACGTCGTCCAGCTTGTACACAGCATGTTCCGTCACCACTAGAACGCGATCTGCTGGCTTGTTAAACCTGCATAATTTGTCAGATTACTACATTGTATATTATAAGATTGACAAGATTGACAAAACAAGTAAACCTGTTGGTTTTTCTGATAAATGCGCTGAATAAGACAGTCTTGAAGTGATCAGTGTTTCGAAGATTGTTTATCGAGGAATTGAAGACATCGCTCTGAGGGTTTTCGTCCGGCTTAGACAAGTAGTTTCCTTCCCAGCGACGGTCCTGGCCCCAGTAAGATCTCTTAGAACGCAACACAGCACCCGCTGCCATCTAATAATAATATTACAAAACTAATATGTTAATCATGCTTGATTTAATTAGGAAATTAAATTTATAATTTCTATTTTTTTTTTTTTTATAAATTGGCGAATGATAACTTTTATTAGCTCTTTGTAATAATAAAAAAAGGAACAGCGGCGCCAAAAACCTGCCTTTAATCGTAGTTGTGGCCAATCTTCCCGAGGAATCACTCTGAGCACCATCCACGCCCGCCATCTCGCATACATGTTCTTTAAGGCGGGCATCACGTGTCTTACAGCGAAATTTTCGCGCGGCCACGGTAAATGCTTGCCATAATTCTGCATGTTCTTGGCATTTCTGAATGTTCGCTCGAGCTCATTGATATAAACGCGTCGTTTGTATCTTTTATAGTGATCTATCAGAATTAACGCGGCCTTCATCTTCTTGTACTTTTGACGACAGAGGTACCCTCGCCATTGCTTCTGCAGAAGGACCACGATACCTGGTATTAAATCGCTGCGAGCCTGTGAATAAAATAATCTAGGTATAATATCAATCTATGAATGAATCAATATCTAATATAAGCACAGATTGTCGTATGTAATGTGCTTAAAATTAGATTAGATCATTTATATATATTGGCTAACCTTTTCTAATGCAAATAGAGTTTGCGGCGAGCGAATGAATATTTTCGTGTGACCATATTTAACGTCATTTGAGAAATTTTTCTCTTCCATCAACGTGCGTACACCGTCCTTGTCGTTGCCACCTCGGAAGTTCGGCCATGTGTATTGTGATATCATTTTGTATCTGGCAAAATGAAAGATCAAATTTGTTTTAATTTTCATGACAGTTATAACTTTGCGTTACAGTTTAAAAAATTTTAAAAAAATTAGATCATAAGTCTTTTCTTTTGTCTTAGTTTCTCAATCTTCACACAATTCTCATTGTATATCTTTCCTGGTGTTTTTTATTCTTATATATTAATTGGAAATTACGTAACTTATATAAACAATATTTAATTTTATTGTTCAATACCTTTTCAGGAATCTGTCGTATCGTTGCCTGTATACAAAACCAGCTCGTCTCACCAATATATTCTCTAAGAGTCCCAAATATCTCACTTGATGATTTACTCTCTCATCGTCGAACACGACGGGAGACTTTACTTCATTAGGTTTTATACACCTGACATAAAATGGTTCTTTACTCGCTAAATTCTTCACCAATGCGATCATAGAATTGCGGAACATTGTGCCAGCAGTTAAAGGCCTTTTTGTCGTCTAAAATAATTCGGTAGTGGATTGATTTAATTAAATATTATATTTGAATTCTAAATAAATAAAATAAATTTAACTACATCTAGTGTTAAACATATGCATAGCTTCCCCCCCCCCCTCTTTCTTTGTACCTTCAAAATATTTTGGGCACCTTCAGGCCACATTTTACTAATTACGGAATTATTGCTTTTATAGAGCATGCGTTTAAAGTCTTGAAAGAGCGTGTCTTTGTTTTTATCGAGGAAGCCGTTGATATTGTAAACCACATCGCCAGCATAGTGTTTGATCTTGAACTCTGTTCTGTGTTCTAATTCTTTATCCATTGGCTTTAATTGTCGAGAGCTATAGTGTTTATGGTCTGCTAATTTTTTATCCATTGCATTGAGAAGCATCTAGAGAATACAATATTTTTTGTTTTAATCCTCAGAAGAACTTCTTAATTCACAGAAGTATAAATCTTTCAATCACCTCGTCAGTAACTTTCCCGACATTAAGACAAGCTTCATCCATGATTGCTATAATTCCCTTATGAGCTTGTTCAACTAAATCGCAGATAATCTGATTGTTGAAATATTCAATGTTTTGCCAAGCAATCCCTTCCTTCTGATACTCCTCTTGCTCTTGTTTCAGCACCAACTCTACAATAAAAATGTTCCTAATTATAATTATAATAATCTTACAATTCTCACAGTTCAAAGTGTTTTCACGCATATAGCGTTACACTTACCGATGAAGAGTTGTTGCAGTTTTTCGTTACAATAATTGATGCAAAACTGCTCAAAACTATTCATGTCGAAAATTTCAAAGCCGTAGATGTCGAGTACGCCGATCAACGTTCCGTATCTCTTCACCCTACTGTTATCATTCACGTTGATTGAATCATTGACTCGCGACACTATCCATGTAAATAATCGCTCATATATAGCCTGAAAGATTTATAAAAATTTCTCTCAATACAATGAATAGAAAATTCTGTAAAGAAAAAAAATGAATCCGCATGCGAGTTGAACATACCTTTGCCAGAGCGTCTCGGCCATACTCGGCTTCTATTAAAGTGTGAGTCTTCTGCATAACTTCTCCACCTGCCGCTATGACTCTCTGCGAAAGAGCAGTGCTCAGATCTTTCGAGTTTATGGAGAACAAGTTGGCCGTGTCATTTAAAGCGCTATTATTTTCAATTATAAGTTTCTCGTCGTCCAATCTGAAGGTGACGTTACCCTAAAAAATAACAAAAAAGTAATAGTGAGCGAAACCAGCATAATCTTCAAAAAGAAAAATATAAGAAGTATTAGAGGAAAGTAGTTTTATCACAGCGATTATGTCAACTCTACCTACCAAATGCAAAATACCAGCGACGATATTCCACACGGTCTGCATCTCATTCGGGGAAAATCCGAGGATAGACATGGCAGTGCAAACGGCTTTATAGTCGCTTCTGTCAGAGATGTTCGTTTTATTATTACTTCCGTTGCCGACAAAGTAGTACGCGGCCGGGTCGCGGACCAAACGTAGCTTGTTCAATTCGGTCTCGCTGCAGCCATTTAGTAACTAAAAATCAAACATATTTCTTTAATCCTGGCAATATATATATTTTTCACACGATAAAGTGATAGTCTTAGTTTCTAATCGTGCGATAAAAATTAGACGTAACTGCAAGGATACCTGATAGAAGCAATGAAAATTGCGTTCTCCCTTTTGCTGATAGACCACTCGCGATTTCTCGAGGAGATAATTGGTCACGTGACCACCCACGGGGTCTCCCTTGAAATCGAAATTGATATCCATATACTTTCCGAATCGTGACGAGTTGTCGTTCCTGTTCGTCTTTGCATTGCCGAACGCTTCCAATATCGAGTTCGATTGAATGAGAATATTCTTTACCCTGCGGAAGAATGCACAAATCGTTTTGTCACACTTAAATATCGTTACAAGACAAAAATATTTTTAATAGATTTTTATATTATGCAATCAAACGATCTACAATCATTTGTAAAAATGCAATTGTAAGATATTTAATCTTATCGCTTAAGTTCGCACAAGATAGATTAGATAGCGAGAGCTGATAGTAATTGCCGGTTTTGAATGGCAATTTATACCTCTCGATTTCTTGCTGTCCGCTTAGATTCGTCACGGCGGCGATATATTTCATAATGATTTTGCTAGTTTCCGTTTTACCGGAGCCTGATTCGCCGCTTATTACTATACACGTGTCTCTGCCCTGTTGCTTCATCTCTTTATGCACCGCATCCGCGATCGCAAAGATGTGCGGCGGATTTTCGAATAGTTCTCTACCTAAAAAAGCAGTTTTAAAAATAGAAAAAAATCATTCAGAAAAATTATACGTGCTAAACATTTTTAAACTAATCGTACATAATCTTGATATAAGCTCTTTTTTTAAATATAATATTGATATTTTTGGTATCCTCCCATGTATAATTTTATTCGCGTGTACCTTTGTACTTATTAATTTGGTCCGCATCGTAGATGTTGGTGCTTCTATACGGATTCACGCTAACGCATACTTCGCCGATGTAGGTGTAAATTTTCCCTCCGTTAAATCTGCAACAGAGAATCAATAGACAACAATCAATACACAGATAAGGCAGAAAGAACGTTTATCGAAACAAAATAGAAGGCATTCTGTGAATAAATTTATCTTATTTAAATCAAATTTTTTTTTTGATAATAATCTTTAAGATACCAAAACAATGCGAATATTCTTACATCTTGCGTACGATTCAAAGAAGCGTCTTATTCAGATTAAGGATTATCAAATTCTTCAAAAGTTTTACGTTTTGTGAAAACTATAAATTGATATTTCTTATCCGCGCCAACGAGAGATAATAATTATCGCATGTACAAGATTGACTTTAGATTACCGAAGTATAATGAGTCATTTGTCCTTATGTAGACGAGAATTGTGTACTCGCTAGTATAAATAATTGCACTTCTAGCTTGTGGTAAAGTTTTTAAATCAATTATATTCGATATATTCAAAAAAATATATATATATATTTTTTTTGCTCTCCTCTTAATACGATTTAAAAAAGCCTTTTAGCTTTGACGAGCCAAAGAAAGTGGATAATCTACATAATAAAAAAACGCCAGTTTTAATCAATTGGTGTATGTAGCATTAATTGTAGGACAGTATTCTCTCGAAAAATTCTGGGTTAATGATTCTATTTTTTAAGATAAATAAAATAATAAAAATAATAATATTCTTTAATCATTAAAAGAATTTGTCATATATTTCTCCCATTTTATTCATTTCCATATGTGATAATTGCTACTTCGTAATTAATTATCAATCACTCATGTCCGAATCTCGCGACGATTACGCGAGCGCAAACCGGTATGCAACGAATCGAGGATGATGACTCATCGCCAACACGAGACCTGATAAGGATTACGCGAGCCGCATATACATATATATTCATCGTGCGTATCCTATAGGATACGTCTTTGACGTTCACCATTCTCATCGTGTGTTTACCGCTAAAAGCATTCGCTCGTTTCTCGTCTTGTGTAGGCGTCGGATATTAATGTGAATCTCGTTGGCCGAAATAATATGACACAACTGGTAAAAATGAAAACTTATATTTAAATTGTCATGAGAAATATTTGTGATTGACTTATATAATAAATATATATATATATATATATATATATATACGTAGCGCGACGGTCGCTATCGTCGCGCGCGTCAAGTGATTGTGCATAATTAGCAATTAATTCCGCATCACATACATAAATACAACTATGCATATAAATAGTCGGCAGAATATACATATAATTGACGACTCATCGGCGAGAGGTCGCGAGGAGGTGAGATATCGGGGGAACGGAAGAAGGAGGGAGGGGGGGGGGAGCGATCATTGAAATTGTATTTGTGTGTGTGTGTGTGTGTGTGTGTGTAAATACTCATATATGTATATTATTAAACTGTATATATAACACTAATTATTTTTTTTATTATAATGTAATTATTTTTAATTTAGGTAATCTTCATGAAATTACTATAACCGCGACAAAAGGGGGAGGCGAAGAATAATTACATTTTATATATTAATTATGTATTTTCATAGATGTTATTCCTGTTTTTGAAGATATTTTGTTAAGGTTGCATTTCGCTGTGGTTTACCTTTAACATTAAATAGAGGCAAGATTTTTATCTCTCAAGTGTATTTTTCCGATATGTTTTTTTGATCTTTTTCGTGAAAGTTGTAGAACGGTCCGGATTGTGTTAATAGTTTTATTGAAGCGTAGAGAAAAATTCTAAGCGAACCTGTTTGAAATCTAGTTCGGAAATGAATTGACAATGTGTATCTGAATCGTTCGAAACGATATGAATTTAATAATAGACGGCACAAAACAGAGTTGATATGGTAGTTTCATAAGGAAATGCTTTCTAGCCAGATTATATGATGTCACGATAAATTAATTCAAATAATTCATTTCAATTATTTGAATTGTAACAGCCCAAACATTTCTATATTTTTTTCTCTAAAGTTCGCTTATAGCTAATATTTATTATTTATATACTTAAATATTTCGCGATTTCTCTCTCTCTCTCTAATTTAAATCTTCAGTCTGTTTCTTAAAAAACCAAGTTCTTAAAATTTTTAAATACCTTATTAAAGAATTTCTAATCTCTCTCTACATCTTTTTAATCAGAAGGAAACCTTGCTCGCAAAGAAAGAGACAGAGTTGATGGTCCTAAACTCCCTTAAATTCACGAATCAGGAACTCCTAAGATATTTTCCACAACGAATCTTGGAAGCCATAAAAGGTAGGAGGAGGCAACAGGATCAAAACACACATAAGGACGCATGATGATGGTATTTTTGAAAAAGGGCAATCGGATTTGTTTATCCTAAGCAATTGGATCCTAATCCAATTAGATTTTGTCCAATTGATTGCTCCTTTTGTACTCTCAATTTGATTTAATCTAATGATTTATTCGCGATTTCGCGTTACGCATCTGGTGTAACCTCAGTGTACGATGAATCAGAGCGCGTCATTCATCTTCACTCATAAATATATATGTTTTCCAAGAAATGCGTCATGCACGTGCATCGTTAAACTTCAACCGCTATAATCAATTTAAATATGCCAATCTTTAGTGCAGATATTTTACAAAATATCAGAAAGAATACAATTTTCAGCAATTTTTTTTCAGCATATCAAATTAAATCGCGATTCTTATAAAATAATATCTGTAAATATATATCTAATATATTGCGTGTGTGGACTTTCATGACTTTTCGCAGAATCTCTCCTATTCCCTTGTTCGTAAAAAGAAATAAAAAATTTCTTATGAATCACGAGATTATATATATATATATATTCATGAGACATAAGTGTGTCTCGTATAATACGGATTAATGTCCCTATTTTATCTTCAATTATATTATTAGATCATGTTCCGGTCTCCACGCATGCGACTTTGCGGCGGATGCACGCAAGCACGCATTGCGTATGAGTACGCGTGCTCTTTGCCCGCACAAAATTATACACCCGCGTAACCGTGTAACAGGTATTGTCGCTTCCGTCAGTTGCTCGCAGTGCGATATTCAATTCCATGCTTCACGATATAGACGGGTATAGTCTCAGGTGAATCGAAGTAATTTCCCTGACGTGTTTTTTTTTTTTTTTTTACGGCAGCGAGCTACAATTTTCTCTCGTATATATTAAGCATAATTAGTATCAACTCGAATCGATGTAACTGTTCTACGAAACTGATGGAAATTATAATCATTAAAATTAACAGCTGTATAAAAATAAAAGTATAAAAATTGAAATTAATAAAAAAAAAAAAAAAAAAAAAAAAAAAAAATAAAAAAATTGAAATAGACTTCCTATTTATTTTATTTTAATCAGTGTCATTTTGATACGTAGAGAGATTGTTAAAGAAAAGTTACATTTTAAAACTATACATAATACGCATCTCATTTGCAAATGATTTATTTTTTATGACAAATATATCTCTGAAACGTCAAAATGTTTAGAATTAAAATATGTTTGTGGACAATCTAATATATATAATACTTGCGAGCTACAATTTTCTCTCGTATATGCCGCTTATAACGCGACAATTACATATTTTTAGAAACGGCGAATCGGTTAATGTAATGTATGATATAAAATAAGAATTTATCTTAATTTAAAATATCTCTATATAATATATAATTGAGCCGTGTGTAAATTTTTCATTAACTAAAAGAAAAATTATAGTTTTGCGAAAAAGAAAGATTAGTTTATGATTATATGCGGTGCATTTGGACTTGCACCGATCTCCGTTAAGTAGGTTAATTCTGTATCAACGTGCTGCTGTTTTTATTCTAAATTACAGTTCCGTCTGCGAAAGACGAAGAATTAACTATTTAACTATAATTAACGCTAGTTAGCGTCGATGCAATCGCTCCGCAATTCTTGCCATCTAGGATCCGCTTGCAGTCTATTGCAACCCGGTATTTTTTTCTAAATTACAACTCACTTTTATAGTATATA